GATGAAGAAAATGAAACAAAAGAATAGAAAATTTTTGAAACACCTGCTGCTAAACCAAAGTCGAAAGCGGAGAAAACTCGTGATGAGAAGCTTGATTTGAGACCATATTTACGGAGAGAAATTGAGCAAACACCTACTCGGGAAGAAAAAAGTGAGCACAGATATCGATGGAAAATGGATTCAGATGAGTATGAGCCAGGGATAACTTATCAGAAGAGACCGACAGGGCATGTAAAAAAAGAAAATAAAGCGCAAGACGAGCCAGGATATCGTTCAAGAGCAGGGCGTAAATTTGAGACAACAGATCAATTAGGATCTAAACAACCAATGTTTGGTTGAAGTAGACCAAATATAAAACCTGCAACATACGATGGAACCAGCTCATGGCAGGATTATAAATCTCACTTTGATGCTTGTGCAATGCTTGGAAATTGGAGCAAACTTGAGAAAGGACTTTACCTTGCTGTTTCATTGCAAGGACAAGCACAGGGAGTGCTTGGTAATTTGTCCGGTGATGCTCTAAATGATTATGATGAGCTTGTTGGAGCGTTGAGCGAGCGATTTGGGCCCTCGAATCAGACAGAGCTCTACCGAGCACAGTTAAGGGAACGCAAAAAGAAAGCAACAGAAAACCTTTCAGAACTGGGACAAAGTATAGTAAGACTAACAAACTTAGCATATCCAACGGCACCAACTGATGTCAAGAAGACGCTTGCTCAGGAGCAATTCCTTGATGCTCTTTTCGACTCGGATATGAGACTTCGTATAAAGCAAGCTAGACCAAGAGACTTGAACGAAGCCATTAGACATGCGATAGAACTAGAAGCCTATAATAAGGCGGAGCAAAGACAGATTGAAAATAAAGGTTTCTACAGACCAATAGGTAACAATGAGACACACAAGGATATATCTGAACTAAGCAGGCTCATTGAAAACATGGGAAAGGCAATGAATGATATGAGACAAGAAATAAAATCCATGAAGGAGAACAAGTCTCAGCAAAGGAGCTACACAAACCAAAAAGTCCAAAAACCTTTCCAAAACAATTTGAAAGAAAGAGCAACCTGTCATAACTGTGGACGGAAGGGTCCATTGCAAAGAGAGTGCAAGACTTCAAGAAGAAACAAAGATGGATATGCTCAGAAGAACAAAACTCAGACCAAGCCAAATGAGCACCAACAATCATCCAAACAGTTTGTTTCTAAAAATCCTCGGAAGCGAGACAAGAAGTTAAAAAAAGAAGAAAAGTTGTTATATTTTTTTTATCATGTGGGACACATGAAGATTGAGGCGTGGGTAATGTGATGATCAGAGATAACTCTCGTAGGTAATTAGGAGCATTCCAGTAGAGAGAAGATTCGTTTAGTCATAGCCAATGAGAATCAAGTATGATAAATAGGAGAGTATAAAAAGTGATGTCAGTGCAGTAACACATTCTGTCGGCATTTGCAGTTAGTCAGTATAAGAGTCAGAAGCTGCTGAGGAAAACTTAGGGTAAAGTGAGACAGGGATTAGACGTGACTGAACAAGTCTTTCCTTCCCTATCTTGCATTAAGTTAGGCTTTAACTAAAATAAAGTAAAACTTTCCTAATTATAAATAAGTAAGCCAGCAGTGAGACATAGTTGAGACACATAGAGCTAGATTAAGATTTTTATTATTACACGTCACAAAATGACGACTCTTGCGGTTTTTACATGTGGGACTTAATCCACAAACAAATACATACATCTGCGATTGAGTTAATATATATGAGCAATTCAAGAAAAATGCTTCATTAGTGGAATTTTTTTTTACATATTCCTAAAACTACTTTCAAGAAATAATTAACTAGAAACAAAGAGAAAATATTATAATTGCCATGTGTCTTTTTTGTGCAAGCATACATTTTATATTCAACAGTCACATACTGGTCCAAAATATTTAGAATGTAACCAATACTATATTAACATTTCTTTTACTACACGTTCCAGGTTTACGTGATGAAAATAGAGTTTAATATCCAGAAAATAATAATTATCAAGTTAATTAGTGTGAAAACTGTCTACAGGAAGCATGTGGTATTATGTGTTATGCACAGAGATCAAGTGGTTGTTAAATGTCAATTGAATGTTATTAAAACGTGCTAATTAAATTAACGGAGTGACAAGACCATTAAAAATTTCATTTTAATGTACCAACCAACTATACGACCGGCTAATTTGTGTTCTCGCTCATTTTCTTGCAAAAAAACTTTAAAGTTTTACAAATTTGTAGCAAACGTATATAATTTCATTAAGTTATATAACGACAGATAATTTTTTCAGAATCACAATGTAATCAACAATTCAAAAATAAAAACTTTTTTATCCGCATTTTCAACTTTTCATTGACAATAAATATTCATGTAAACATTGTCATAATTTACCTAAATTGTCAACTTTTTTCAATTTAACTTTATATTAACTCTTAATTTAATTTAGTATTGATTAGATATTAATTAATCCTTTAAAATTTAAATAAATTTTCAACATTTATATATTGAAAATACTTTTTGCTTGTTTGTAGTTTGATACTGTAGACGTAATAAGCTTTTACAATCCAATTGTGAGATCAGTGCCTTAAAGCGGAGTGACAAGACCATCAAAAATTTCATTTTAATGTACGAACCAACTATACGACCAGCTAATTTGTACGTTTTAGACAGATATTGTCAAACAATTTTTTTTCGTCTGGTCGGATGAACATCACAATGTACATGTACATATTAAAAATGTTAAGGAATATTTTACATTTAATGTTTTATATGAATGTACAATATGCATGCATTTGTATTGGAATTGTTCTTACTGTGAATATACTGATTTCATAGAAAAGAAACAAAATTTAGACTACATGTATAATGCCCGTAAAATGTTTGTCATGAAATAATGTTATGTTATCTTGAAAGGTTCCATGCTAATGTATATTTCTTTAAGTACAATTCTATTATAATATTTAGTACTACGAGGGTTGTCCCGTAAAATCGTGGACAAGTTGTCTAGTGTAAAAAAATAAACATCACAGCGTTCTGAAATTCTCACTATTATTTAGTACATATTTTAGTAATATACACAGCAAATTTCAGATAAATATATGCATAAATAAACAAATTATGTGATTTTATGCCATGTATTGTAGATCACCTTGGATTATAACGTAAAGTGTCTAAAACAATTCATGTTTTATGTTTGGATGAGTCCAACTTAAATATAGGAATTTCATTGGTTCTTTAGTCTTATAAACAGTCGAAGAACCAATAATCTTCTGTATATTTCTTTCTTCACCATCATTCAAATAATAGAAAATCTCATATCGGCGGTCTAAACAGCGTTCCGTATGTTTTGTACTAATATTTATTTGTATACTATGATATGGTGATATTTTTATAATCTTTTTTCTTCTATTGTCATTTAAAGTAAAGGTGTCAACAACATCGATTATGCTCTCCGGTGCGCCGTAACGTCATAAAACTTCTCCATTTTTCGTGTGTTGTGTTTACCACTTTCCCATTTTGAATGCTCGAAAAACTGCCAACAATTAACCAAATGCCTTAAATTTTTTTACAAAGACTACAAAATTAATTGTGGAATTGAATTAGAATAATTTTAATCCAAATCTTTTGTATTTAAAACTTTTATTTTGAATTCAAACTTGTGTATTCTTTAATAAAATCTTGGTTTTTTGTCAGTGCGCCGTAGGACAATACCCCGTGCACATTCAAGCATAACAAAATCTTTATTTTTACCTATATTTTATCCAAAAAATTATCATGCACTTAAATATGATAAATAATCATTTACTGAAATTTTCAGCTTAGTGCGCCCATTACTCTTTGAGAAAACGCTTTGTCCACGATTTTACGGGACAACCCTCGTATTTGATTGTAATATTTGAATTCAGTAAGGAAAAACTGAAAATTGACTTATTATAATTTTGGACTCACTAAACAATTTTGTAAAAATCTGAAGCAGTTTATATAGGGTTCTTTGGTCTTTATTATTTCTTGTTTTATCTGTCTAAGAATATGATTCATTTGAAAACAGAATAGAAACGTTGGTATAGAGCTAATATTTATGGTATCTGATCCTTTAAAATATACTTCAATGGGGTGTATACTCTATCACTAAAGAATACAACCTGTTTATTATGTCTCAATCTACGCATTGTATGATATGCATATAGTGTGTTTTCAAATGAACACTGGAAACTTCATTTTTGACTTTAAAATAAAATAAACGTGCTGATTAAATGACCTCCGTCATTTTTAAGAACTACTGAAACAAAAGTAAGAAATTCATTGTTATTCCTGGGATTGATTTGAGATACTATAATCTTTCTTAATCTTAATTCTCCGTTACATTTTGTAAAAATGTAAATTTGACAGAAAAGGGTAAATCTTTTGCAAAAAAAAAAAAAAAAAACAACAACAAACAAACAAACAAACAAAGGAAGCTTTCTCATGACAGAACAAACCGTTATTTATATGGTAAGTTGCTATTTCTTGGATTGCTAAATTTTTATCTTTTTCTGATTTATTTCTGGTACATGTATTTAGAAGACAACCAAAGATACTGGGAACAGTGAGTTCATAAAACAATATTTACATTCGCTGTGTTTTTCTACTAAGCAAACTGTGAAACTGATTTGAATACCATTTTCGTGTATACTCACGCGTAGAAATATACACGGAGAAACGTGCGTTACCGTGACGTCACAATGAGGCTACAGCGACGTTAGTAAAAGTATAACAATATAGGACAGCGAGAAATTCAAATATTCAGTAAATGTTCGGTGCTTCCAAACATGTTAAATGTAAATATAAGGAATGTTTTTAAGTTTAGAGTGAATTATAGGTGTGAGAATCACACAGACTTGCACGTAGGCATATTTTTCATGAAGCGCTAGAGCTAGTGCATATGAATAACATCATTCAATGATAGTAAGAGTCATTAAAATCTAATTTCATTTGAACTGGGCTCCCCTCCCGTAAGTGCGTAAAGGCCTCTTCACTACTGTTCAGTACGCCGGAAATGTAAGTTCTTGCTTTTGCTAAACAAAGAAATTTTACATATAGTCTATCATCTCATAAAAACGACCCTGTCCTATGTACAAATGCCCTATTTGAAGATGTTTTGACGTAAACATTGCATTCTGCTAATTAAGGTTTTCAATCCTCTTTTGAAGACCTTGTTATCTTTGGATATTAGAGAAAAATTAATAATTTTATTATACACCAATAACATCAGTCAAAAACAATTTTCTTCTAGACTCGACCTTGTAGACTTTGTGTGAGATATGGGGGGAGGGGAGGAGGGGTCTACGAATATCAATTTCTTCCAATCGTACAGCTGAAGGTTCAGTTAGGAGTAACATACGCTACTGCTTGCAATAGCAGATTTTCTTGTTGATTTTTGTTTTATTTAATTACTTACAATGTCTGTAACTTCGTCAAACCGTGGAAGATATTATTCCCGAGTTCAGTGATTTCATTCCCCCAAAGGTTTCTGAAATATATTCCATGAATTTATGTCAAGTAATTTATCTATCTTGTTATCTTTTTTTATTTTTTATTCTTTAGTCTAAATATTAAGAGACGAAGCTTTATTATACATTAGTCATGAAAGACAGGAATATATGTATAAATTAAAAAGGGAAATTGCTCCAATTCCAGCGATTGAGAATTATACCTCCAAGGTGAAAAATGTCTTTTCAAGCCTTTTTTTAATATTTAATAGTAAATAACTCTCATATATTCTAAATAGTAAACAACTTTCCAAAAACAGTTGATGATATGGACCATCAAATGGGCACATGTATAATACACTAGACAAAATTGCTCACCCACCACTTGAGAGCAAATCTAATTAAAATTAGATGTTAGAACCGCTCGCATACTCACTACACTAACTGTAGCGAGTATGCGAGCAGATCTAACATTTAATTTTAAAGAGATTGCCTCACTGTTATATGTCTGTAAGTGCAGAGTGTATGACAAAATTTGCAGCTATCCACTGGCAAGAGGTCCGTCTCCATAAGAGCGAAAAAGTTTCGAGAAGGACGTTAATCAACATACGAACAAACTAACAAACTCATGAAAACTGATTTCCGGAGATATCCTATTTCATGTTTTCTTTCATAAACATTCTTCAATCAGTTTCAAACATTTAGTAATGAAAAACAAATATCGTAATTTATCAAACACATGCACATTAAACTCGTGTAACTTCTACATGTACATTTAGCTATGTTAAATAAACAAGTCTGAAACATCTCATCTTTTATGTTACGAAATAGAATTTCATGGAATAGAATTTTTAAAATTCGACTTAAAATATCATCGGTGTATTAAGATGCCATGGAGTACTTTTAGTAAGTATCCCATGTCGACCGGTTAAAGAGACTTGATTTATTGATTATCTGTTGTTTTCAGCCGCAGTAATATTTCTGCAATATTACGGCGGACGAAGAGTTGAGTTAGATAGTACGTGTATATATGTGTATCATAGAATTAAGTAGCCGTTTGGTAGCAATGGCTTTTAATAGTAAAACATCCAAATACATGTATGAAAGAGGTATGTCAGACTCTGTTTTGCCTTATTTTAAGTTTAGTGGGAATATGATCAACGAAAATGTATGATTAAAATAACTATTTCAAATTGACAACACATCAATATCTATGTAAATTGAATGTCACCGCAAGGATTTTTTTTATGTAGACAATTTGAAATATATTCGACTTCAAAGAAAAATCTTCGATATAGTTCTGCTGATTAAAAAACATCATTAGTGCACATTGAAATTCCCAACAGATTGCAGGAAAATTTTGCCTCCAAACATCTAAGATATTGTCACGAAGAAACTAGGGCATCTCTTATAATTATTTTAATAAACAGAATGATCTTTTCATGAATAAATGTAATTTTGTATAAAATCAATCACAAGATTTGAAAATTTTTGACTTTCATTTTTATGACAAAAACAAGTATTTTCAATTTATTCAATAGTAAGGATTAGTTTTATATAGTTTTCATTCCTGTTAAGCTTAAATGCCTTAAATTTTGTAACAATTTTGTAATTTTAATTTTTTTTATTTCCAATAATTCTTAAGCATCCACATATTAGATTTGCAACATTCTTCTATTCTACTGTTGCATAGTACTGCTCAAATCTATCAAATGCTATTTCCTGAGGAATAAAAAAGAAGCTTGGGAGAACAAGCAATAGATTCGGCCACCTATCTTTGAAAGGACTGTATGACGTTTTTTGGATGGCAATGTGGGCACGGTGATTAAAATTCAATTTGATTTCTGGGAATATTAGAAAGGCAGCACTGTTAATGTGTACCATGACGAAATCAGCGGAATTGAGACGTTCAAAATAGATTCCTCTAAAAACTGAATTTGTTGGTAAAGCTGTTACATTATCATAAAGCTCTAAAGCAAATTTAATCTAGATGTGTTTGTGAAACACTGATGCCCCAGTAGTGCAGTTTATGGTGAGGATTGAAGTTTCTCAAATACATGTCAAACTTTATGGCCAAGAGATCAAAAATGTTTTACCTTAACAAAGGACTTGTGTCAATGAATACATATATGAAATATAAGAGCCCGAGTGCTAACCTTTAAAAAAGTTGTGACAAAGATTAAAGCTTTTTGAAAGTAGGTAAAACTCCAAGGTCAAGGTCAAAAGATTAAAAAATACTCAGGGGAATTGTTCAAAAGTTATGGCCAAGTTTAAAGTTTTTCAAAAATAAGTCAACTTCCAAGGTCAAGATCAAAATGGTATGTATCCAAGAAAAGGTCTTATCACAAGAAATACTCCTGTAAAATATGAAAGCCTTTGTCAACAGTGTTCAAAAGTTAAGACCAAGGCTAAAGTTTTTAAAAAGTGGGTCAAACTCTAAAGTCAAGACCAAAAGATAAAAAAATATCTATACCCTTCTCTAGCATTATCTGTTCAAATGTCATGGTCAAGGTTAAAGTTTGCTCATTTTTTTCAAAAGACGGACAAACTCCAAGGTCAAAGAGCTAAGCACGACACAAGACCTAAATGGTTAACTCAGGAAATTCTGCAAGCTCAACACATGCGTGATAACCTCCATAAAAAAACGTTAAGGCTTTGAAAATTTTAAAATATGGCGCAATAAAGTTACATCTCTAATTGATAACACCAAGATTAGTTATGATTAGTTATTATAAAACAACTTTAGAACAAAACAAAAATCCAAAACAAATGTGGGATGCATTAAACAATTTAGATTCTAAATTTCGTAATTATATTCCAGCTGCACTTGCTAAAAATAGTTAAATCACTGAAGATACACTAGAAATAGTAGAAATGTTTAATTCTCATTTTTCAAATATTTCTGCAGAACTTTTTTTTCAGGTATAAGTAAGAAGGTAAATGAATGTACAGATCTTTTAGAATTTGTTAAGTCTAAATTTGGTGCATACAAGTTTTCTATCCCACCTCATAAATCATGTCAAAGTACTAACTTTTCTCAATAAACCAGATATTAGTAAATCTTCATGTGTTAGTACCATCGGACCACGTCTATTGACACTTACATCACAATGATACATAAACCTCTGACCCATACTGTAAATACTAGCATCATATCTGGCATTTTCCCCGAGAGTATTAAACTTGCAAAAGTCACCCCAGTCTATAAAAAAGGAAACAGATTAGATCCAAATAACTATAGACCTATTTCTATTTAACCAACATTATCAAAGATTATTTTAATAGCATGTAGCAAAATATATATGATCTCTTTTCTCGAATTTTGATCTTATTGTAGACGTTCAATCAGGCTTTAGAGAACTACATTCTTGCCAAACAGCCCTTGCAAAATTTACAGATGAATGGTTAAATGAATGGACCAAGGTAAACTTGTTAGTACATTTTATTTTGATTTGAGTAAAGCTTTTGACCCTCAACCATGATCATATTCTACTTAAAAAGCTACAATGTTATAATTTTGATGCAATAACTTTACAAGGGTTCAGATCATACCTCTTCTGTTTTTATTTTACATTAATGATCTTCCTTTACATGTATGTATTTCAAAATCCAAATCAGATCTATTTGCAGATGATGCAACTTTACATGCATCCAGCAAAAATTCTCATACTTTTGTAGATGCATTATCAACAGATATAGCTTTTATAGAGAAATGGTGTTCTCAAAATCAAATAGTTCCAAATGCTACAAATTAAAACGAAGTGCATGTTAGTTGGTACGCATCAAAAGAAATCAAATTTTTCTGAGCATGAATTCAATCTATTTGTATATAAATAAAACTTGATATTTTATCAAATGAAAAAAAATTCTGGGAGTTTATTTAGATAATTCTTTACAATACAATGTACATATTGACCATGTTTGTAAAACACTGTCACGATAAAATTCTGCCCTCCGTAGAATTAAAAAGTTTCTTCCTATTCAAACACGCAAGCTGTTTTATAATGCATATATTATGCATTCAATTGATATCACTCGAATACGGAGAGAGTTTATAAACTTCAAAAACGTGCTGCAAGTTGTATTTTAGATGCTCCTCCTGACGCGCTCTCACAACATCTCTCCGAGAAACTAGATTGGCTCACAGTGTATGAGCAACTTATTTTAAATAATTATGTTTTGTTATATGTATCATTGTTTAACTCTTACCATACTTATTCAAATAGTATGTTTGACTTCCAGTGTAATAATTAATACAATTTTCGATCTGAATCTAATTTAGAATTATGTGTACTAGCTCATAAATGAAACTCGTTGAGAACTTCTTTCAATAATCTGGTGCTATCTTATGGAATTTACCTGTACATATAAAAATGTCTCAAACACACAATGCTTCCAAGCACCATGTCAAAAAAAAAAATTGTAAAACAATGTCGAAATTACTTATGATTACATGTATTTATTGAATGGGTATATTGGTATATGTATATATTATTGAGTTTTGTCTATAGAAGGTCCCGGGGAAGAATAGTGCTTGTACTAGTCGGGATACCTTCTTTAAATAAAGGATTATCATTATTATTATTTTCATAAAGTCAAGAGGTAAATTAAAAAGGTAAAAAGAAAGATCTTGTCATAAAGAATGCACATGTAAAATCTGAAAGCCAAAGCCCCAATAATTCAAAAGTTATGGGCGAGGTTAAAGTTTTTGCGGACAAACAGACAGACAGACGCACAATGTAAAAACTACATACCTCCCAAATCTTCGATTCTGGGTGTTTGAAAATAGATAGTATACCTCATTTTGTTTCCATTTTAGTTTGGTCACTTTGATTTGATAGACACGTGATAAGTGCATATAATGTGTACTGCATGGAGGCCATTGACAAACTTCAATATCGCAAAGGCAAATCCTAATTTTAATTTTAAAAAAAATAGCGATAAATTGTTTCTACAGATATTGATTTTTTTAAAGTACTGCTGTTTTGAGTAAAATTCGTACACAAAAATTGTAAAAAGTGTATACAAAAAAACCGTAGAATTAATCCAATACATATTCTCGATAATTATAAAATAATTTTGTACCTCTATTGAGAATTCTCAAATTTGATAGGCTTGCAAGAAGACTTTAAAACTCATTATTGACTTCAATAAGTACAATTAACAGAAATAATGACCTATGAATCATTGCTTGTAAGATATAATGACTCGGCCGTTATATAAAAAGTTAAATATTGACCCCTTAATCAAATTTATTTATATATTGAAATATTGATTATATGCGAAAAAAAGTATGTTATGAAATGTGCATTGTCTGTTTTACTTTACGATAAAAAAAAAACGAAATTATCTATATGTCATAAAACTCATCGTTAACTTATTTGAAAAAAAATGTGTTATTCATTTTTTGTAGAATGCAGTCTCGACCCTTCTTTAAAGTAAAATTCTTTGCCAGATTTTCATTGTGAACAGAAAAGTTAACCTTACTGTCAACCAAGTGTGGTTTTAATCAGTAAATTTTGATGCAAAAACTTCACATTGGCGAATCCCGATGAGAGAAAGAATACTCCGACATCGAATATTAAGCATTCAGTGTATATTTATTTTCATTATATCGGTATAATAAAATAATTAATTGATTACCCCTTGTTAGTTTAACATGGTGAAAAAAGGCCCGCTCGCTGACTTGACTTGACCGAGGCCGCAACACCTCGTTCAGGTCAGGTTAGGTGACCTTTTGGGCTAGGTCTCCGATTCTTATAATTATTATTATATAAGCAGAGTAAACATGGGCCTCTTAATCAGATAATTGATCGATATGCCATGGAGAAGTGACTTACGCTGTTTCAGATAAAAAATATTTACTTACAGTGTCTGTAAATTTGGCAAACCATGAAAGGCATTGCTCTGAATTACGCTTATATTGTTGGAATGTAACCACCTAAAACAGGTTTTTTAAAAAAAATCATACATGTATAAGTACTTTTGTTTCTTTCTACTTTAATTTCATACAAGTATCTATTCTACAGACATTCAGTTTATTTCTATCAAAATGAAATTTAAAAAAATTAAAATTGAAAAATAGTACATGTAATAAAATGATTCCTAAGCCTTTGCAGATATTTATTTCCGTTTATTTATATACTTTGAATTTAATATCATACAAGACAAGCTGGAAATCATGTTTCAGTTTTATTTATAACGTAGAAAAAGCTGAATGTATGTAAGTTCGAGTTGAATTCACTGTTTAATGCGTCATCAATCAACAGAATACTGAAAAAGGTGTACATAATGAACATTGATCGTTATTTTGAAAAAAAAAAAAAAAAACACTTTAAATTTCTTGACAGGAAAAACCCATTTCTAACGGAAAAAAATGGATGGCCAATCAAAACAAATGGCAACATGAAAGCAGGAGCGTGGCTGCTTCCATGTTATCAATAACGTTTTAGGATTATTTTTTTTTTAATTCATAAGAGAATATATATCAATCACTCATTATACAATCACTGCCCTCATTTTTAATGAATAAATATCTGTGCATGTACAGCAAATCAATGAAAGAGTAATAAATTAACAATGATAGCTTTTATTCATATTTTGGCTCAAAATATCCCAGTGAACTTGAAATAAAAGGTAATACAGAATCTGTCACATCTGTATCATATTTGGATGTTTTACTGACTATAGACAATAAGTGCCAAATAAGAACTAAATTGTACGACAAAAGAAATGATAAATTTCCATATTTATGTAGTAATATCACCTGCATATAGTGTTAACATTTCCCAAATTATATGATATTCAAGAGCATGTTACGAATACGATCGATTATTATACTGAGGCAGGATACTGACAAATAAGTTGATGATGTTACCGTTATTTCATCAACCCCGCTTACAACTCAGTATTTTATAAATTTCATTGTCGTTATAATGACCTTGCTAGCAAATATAATCATTGGGTCATAATAATGACCTATGAATCATTGCTCGTGGGATATAATAACCCGGTCGTTATATAAAACGTTAAATAGTGACCTCTTAATCAAGTTTATTTATATATTGAAATAATGATTATATGTAAAAAGTATGTTAGGAAATGTGCATAGTCTGTTCTACTTTACGATACAAAATACGAAATTATCTACATTGTATATATTAGAAAACTCATCGTTAAATCATTTGAAAAAAATGCGTTATTCATTTTTTAGAGAATGCAGTGTCGACCCTTCTTTAATGTGAAATTCTACGCCAGATTTTCATTGTGAACAGAATAGTAATCTTCATTATAACAATGTTACTGTCAACCAAGTGTGGCTTTAATCAGTAAATTTTGATGCAAAAACTTCACATTGGCGAATCCCGATTAGAGAAAGAATACTCCGACATCGAATATTATGCACTCAGTGTATATTTATTTTCATTATATCGGTATAATAAAATGATTAATTGATTACCCCTTGTGAGTTTAACATGGTGAAAAAAGGCCCGCTCGCTGACTTGACTTGACCGAGGCCACAACGCCTCGTTCGGGTCAGGTCAGGTGACTTTTTGGGCTAGGTCTCCGGTCCTTATAATTATTTTTATATAAACATGAAAGAATGACTTACTCAGTTTCAGATAATGAATATTTATTTACAGTGTCTGTAAATTTGGCAAACCATGAAAGGCATTGCTCTGAATTACGGTTATATTGTTGGAATATAACCACCTCAAACAGATTTTTGAAAAAAAAATCATATAAGTGCTTTTGTTTTTTCTAATTTAAATTCATACAAGTATCTATTTTACAGACATTCAGTTTATTTCTATCAAAATGAAATTTGCGCAGGTATGTTAAGGTTACAACCAAATATTGACTTGCCTAAATAATATGACGTGATAGTAAGCTATATGACGTGAAGTTTAGAGATAACTATTTTTAAAAATCGACATCTCAGATTGATTTGAGGTCGTAACAAGAGGCCTATGAGCCACATTGCTCACCTGAGCAGAACTTAGTTTATTAGTTTATTATTGATATTATTTATAGTTTATTTAGTTTATTATTGAAAAGTTTAAACCCAAAAGTAGTCCCAACCATTCCTTAAAGGTGAGAGAGTATGATTTGCACAAACTTGAATCTACACTACCCGAGAATGCTTCCATATAAATACATGTATGACCAATCATGGCTTTGCTATTCTACAATGTAGAGAAGATTCTAAAAAAAAAAATCCTATATCTTTCTATGTAAAAGTTTTGTTGGCCATTGTGACCCCGCCCTACCCCCGGGGAGTCATGATTTGAACAAACTTGAATCTACACTACCTGGGGATGCTTCATATAAATGACCAATCATGGCTTTGTTATTCTTGAGAAGAAGATTTTTAAAGAATTGTCCTTTATATTTCTATGAAAAACTTTGGTCGGCCATTGTGGTCCCGTCCTACCCCGGAGGTCATGATTTGAACAAACTTGAATCTACACTGCCTGAGGATGCGTCCATTTAAATATGACCAACCATGGCTTTGTCATTTTTGAGAAGATTTTAAAGAATGTTCCTATATATTTTTTATGTAAAACTTTAGTCGGCCATTGTGACCCCGCCCAACCCCCGGGGGTTATGATTTGCACAAACTTGAATCTACACTACCTGAGGATGCTTTCATATAAATATGACCAATCATGGCTTTGTTATTCTTGAAAAGAAGATTTTTTAAAGAATATTCCTATATATTTCTATGTAAAATTTTGATCGGCCATTGTGGCCCCGCCCTACCCCTGGGGGTCAAGATTTGAACAAACTTGAGTCTACACAATCTGAGGATGCTTCCATATAAGTTTCATCTTTATTGGCACAGTGGTTCTTGAGAAGAAGATTTTTAAAGAATTTTCCTATATAATTTTATGTAAAACTTTGATAGGCCATTGTGCCCCCACCTTACCCCCGGGGGTCATGATTTGAATAAATTTGAATCTACACTACCTGAGGATGATTCCACATGAGTTATATCTTTCATGGCCAAGTGGGTCTTGTGAAGAAGATTTTTTTAAAATGCCATTAATTTTTCACTAATTTATAATTATCTCCCCTTTGAAGAGGGCTTGGCCCTTCATTTGAACAAATTTGAATCCCCTTAACCCAAGAATACTTTGTGGCAAGTTTGGCTGAAATTGGCCCAGTGGCTCTTGAGAAGAAGAAGAAAATGTGAAAAGTTAACGACAACAACGACGACAACGACAGACGACGGGCAAATTTTGAATAGAAAAGCTCACTTGAGCCTTCGGCTCAGGTGAGCTGAAAATGAATCAAAATATGCTGAGGCATAATATAAACGGAGTTTTGGTGTTTCTGGATCTCTGTTTTATCACAGGGGTTACATACCAAACCCGTGATATCATAACTGTTGATCATGCAGTAGCAGAGTGAAATTGAAATGTAACGAAAATTCATGTAAACAAACACAAGAAATCGGAGTTTAAAAGCATTTAGAATGAATGTCATGTGTGATTCATGTGGGAATAAAGCTTATAAATAAGGTATGTTAATATTATTTTACAATTTCTTCGTAAAATAAAAGCAGATAAGGTGTTTACTTGCCGATAGGCCTTGACTCTGTCGTTCGTAACCAAAAAATGCAAAAGTTCAACACTACGCCGCATACTTTGAAACTTAATTTTTGTTTCTATCTAAAATTCTTATTCTATTGTTTTTGAATGAAAAGTGCTGCTAGAATCGTATGGTTTACGAGAATTGATGCATTTTTTTTTTCGATGTTTTGAACAAAATGTAAAAGTTTTGGGAATGTTTTGTCCGAAAATGTTGAATAATTATTTCTGTGATAGGACAGTAGGATTCCAGCAGCACTTTTCATAGTACAGAGATGTTTTTATATAACTATTATAACAAATTGAAATTAAGTATCCCCAGGGTAGTGTTGAACTTTTCAATTTTTCATTAAGGCATATTTCTAATTATAGACGTCACGTGGTGACGTCGTTGTGAAGTGCTTCCTGTAGTATAAGTCCCATTGAAGTTTATAGAATGCATAATGACAGCAAAAATATTATCCATGGCTTTTCCAATTTATTTGTGCTACATATTATAAAAAAAGTGTTAATTCGCCGAATTCTGATCCGTGTGCTGCCTTAACAAACCCGCGTGATAAGAAAATTAAAATTGGAAAATAGTACATGTAATCAAGTTATTTCTTAGCTATTGCATATATTTATTTCTGTCTATTTATATACTTTGAATTTAAAATCATACAAGACAAGCTGGAAAGCATGTTTCAGTTTTATTTATATGATAGAAAAAACTGAATTTATTTAAGTACAGAATGAATTCAATGTTTATTGTGTCATCAATCAACAGAATAATGAACTAGAGCCGAGCTCGTTGCAAAGCAACGAATAGGTCTTCCGTTAGAGCTACGGATAAGAAGACGTAACCTTGAGTCTAGGTCAAAAGCCGCATTCTTAAGTTGTACAAGTGAAAATTTAAACCTTGTAAGAGAAGCAACTTGCAATGTTTAGCTAGGAAAAAAAAACTGTAAAGGAATTTATGTGACCTTGAACTCTCCAAATGACCTTGATCTAAGCAATGACTAACTCTCGTTATAAAAATATTATCCATGTGTCACCGTCTGGAAAATTTTAAACATTTTATTTAGATATTCTTTCTGTCCATGCATCCAACCAAAAACATCTTATCCTTGGTGACTTTGGACTTGAGTCAAGGTCACATACCACCCTGCATTATATCAGCAATGTTTCACTAGTAGAAAAATGGTAGCGAATTTACAGTTTCACTGTCACTAACCTTGACTCGTCCAAATGACTGGATATGTTCAGCCATGTGTTTTTTTTTTCTGACCATAATCGAGGCAAAATAATTCATTGGGTTCAACACAATGTCGAGACTATAGCTCTACTTGTTTGTACTTATAAAAAAGGA